TCTTTAAATACAATAATAATAATTGATATTCAACAATTTAATTAATCAGCAATGGTATTTACAGAGGTTGATTTATTTGATGAAGATTTTAATTCAATCGGGTGAGTCACGAGTACAATAATTTAATGGTAATTTGTTTAATTTATTTAATTTATTTAATTTATTTACAGTTATTCAATTTAAATGCAATAGATTTATTGGATAATGATGAATAATTTAATGGTAAGTAGCTTGTTGGTGTTTCATTTCTGATGTAGATGAGAGGAAGTGAACACTTTTAGTTGGAAGCAGGAAGTGAGTGAGTATATTTTTTTTCAGATGGATTTAGTCGGAATTTCGGAACTTGGATTGACGACAACTCGACTTGGAATTTTATTAGAGTTGTGTGTAAATCATTAACAGTTTTTCGTTAATGATTGATGACAATTATGAGTCAAATTTTATTGTGAAATATTGACGATTTTTCGCTAATGATTAACGTTTTTTGATAACAATTTTTCAATAATATTTAATGTTAAACATTATTGAAAAATCGTCAATAATTTACGATAAAATTTAGCGTTAATTTACCTGTAAATTTGAAATTTTTTTCCCAACAAACGTTTACGTTTTTATTTCGTTTTTTTTGTTAATTATTAACGAAAATCAATAAAGTTTGACTTGAATTTTTGTTAACAAAAGTGCGAAAAAATTAATGAAAAAATAAAAATATTTACGTGGAAATATTTTAGCGGGATTTTTGGTGGGAAATTTTTAGCTCTCATCAACAAAGAGATTTCTTTTCTACTGGATCTTACATGACTGGAAATATAATATTGTGAAAACAACAAGAATGAAAGCATGTAAGGAATTTCTTGCCAGTATTTATTGGCTCATATATAAAGGCCTTACCAATTTCCTATTTTTTAAAAATGAAAAAAATTACAACCAGCCTCGTGAAAAGCCTTTTCCAAGAAAACAACAAGCCTTATCGAAATTCTATGTAAACCCTAATTCCTATGATGGTGCCTTCTTGATTTCGGGAGAAAAGTTTTCTGTGGAGGAGTGTGATAAAATATTCAAAGCTATTGATAAACCAAATTTATATCTTATAACAACGTTCCTTAAAAAACCAATAGATATGCAAAGGAAAAGGGACTTGTGGAAGCAATTCGAGGCAGAGTTAATATTTCGAAACATTGGGGCACCTGACAAGTTTCATTATTCCTGCTACATCAAAGCTTTAGTTAATACTAAACAAATTCAAAAAGCGTTAATTGCAGTATCAGAAATGAGAGGTAATATTAGTACTGGATGCACCACAAAAGCATCTGCTTTAAACCTGGAAGAATTAATTATTAATAGTGGATTTTTCAATGATATAATTGTCCAAACAAGCCTCATTTCTATGTTCTCCAAGTGTGGGTTATTAGAAAGGTCTATTGAACTGNTTCACAGCATGGAGAAGAAACCAACAGCAACATGGAATGCAATGCTTTCCGCATACGCACATCACTCTCTTTACAATGAAGTACTACTGTTATTCAGCGAGATGGAATCTTCAATTGAGACGGACAAGCAAACTTTTAGCTATGTTATTCTAGCCCTTTCGAGTCTTGGAAAATACCAAAATGCTCTGCAAATACTCACATCCAAAACTAGAGTAATTTTGCCATCTCACTATCATGCACTAATCAAGGGATGTATTAACAGTTCGAATTTCACTCAAGCTTTGAATGTTTTAGAGTTGATGAAAAGTAATCGAATTCCACCAAACTCTCGAATATTTATATCACTCATGAAGACTTCCCAGAAGCGATTAGGATATTCAAAGAAATGAGGATAGCTCCTAATGATACCACATTTGTTGTGTCAGCAGTTTTGAATGCGTGTAGTCATAGTGGATTAATTAAGGAAGGATTTCAAATCTATGAAAGTATGCAAACTAATCATGATATTGAACCAGACATTAAACACAAAACTTGCATCATAGACATGTTGGGAAGAGCAGGTTTTTTAGAGGAGGCGCATTTCTTTATTGATTCAGACGAAACAGACACCATAATTTGGATGACCTTGTTGGGAGCTAGTAGAAAATATAACAATATTGAGTTTGGTGAAGTGGCATTCGAAAGAGTGATATCCCAAAGCCCTTCCAATGCTGCAGCTTACATATTAATGTCGAATATTTATTTACACACACACAATTGAAATAGATGGGTAATTACATTTGTTAGTGAGGATGATAAGCATAAAGAGATTAACCTAATTAGGGCTGAACTAGATACGCTAAGGTTGGAATTGTTGGAATCCAAACTCTACCATCCAGATACAAGTTTGGGCATGAAAAAAGATATCACCACTGAAGAGGAAAAAGAAAAAGTTCTGTTCCAACATTGTGAAAAACTTGCTATTGCATACGGTTTGATTTCTTTACCAAAAGGATCTACCCTTTGCATAACTGCAAACTTGAGAGTTTGTGGTGATTGCCATCAAGCAGCAAAAGCCATTTCAAAAATTAGAGAATGTGACATCATTGTACGAGATGGGAATTGTAGTTGTGGTGAGTATTGGTAGATGGTCGAACTTCTTTTAATGTTTGACAACCAACCTACATTGAAAGTTGTTGTAACCTTACAAAAAAACTATTATTGGAGAGATGGTGAACTTTGCTATTGTGGAATGAAATAAAATTTCCCGCCTATTCTATTTTCATTTTTCAACAAAAAAAACAAATCAAACAATTATTTAAATAATAATCTAAAACAATTGATAAGAAAGAAAATGTGTACTAATAATAACAATAATAATACTCTCACTGGTAAATTAATCATGAGAAAGAACAAGGAAGAAAGTATTGAAAAGGTTTTCCAATTAATTAATTTCGGAGGCTTGAATGAATCTGTTAGAGAATTTGTTCAAGATTTGCCATCTGCTACTTCTTCTGATGAAGTGTTATTATCCACTTTCAAGATCAAGGCTATTGTTCCATCTTCTGAGAAGAGAAAAACAATTTATATAATTAATAATGAAAATGATTTTTCTGAAATGATGAAATTAATTCAAGAAATTCCACAAGATAAAC